ACACGAACATAGATGTTATCAAGGACAAAAATATACATCTTTAAGTATCTCATCATACATCCATTAAGAATACCTATACAGATTAGAAGATGTGGTATGATTGCCAATGAGACAACTCTCCATAAGAGACCAAAAGACACAGAAATTAACGACTATAGGTCACAGTACGGCCTTCAACAATGAGTAAAACTCATACCGCATAGTCAGCTATAAATGCTAGAAAAATTTTAAAGTCGGCATTTCTAATGATAACAGTGATTATATGTTGAACGTTACTGGTTGATAAAGGTGTTAAAAGATGTTTTACTTGACTATATACGTCGATAGTTTGAAAATTGTGACTGTTGGATTCTTTGTTTAAATCCTGTCAAATGCAGAATCTCAAAGATTGTTTGATTTAAATAGAATTGTGATGATAACATTATAACCTAGGTGTAAGTTTCCTTGCTTTTACATACTGCCGATACAGACAAATCAATATCCAAATTAAAATAAATGCTAACGTTGCGAAATAAGACTTATCATAGAACATAAACTTGCCATTGACAACACGTATTATGATATATGTAGAACAGGATCTGTTCCAATTATCTTATTTACACATTTCGCATTTGTGAGTTGCAGTCGGCTGTACTAAACACTAAATGTTGATAGCTTGTTAATAATGTTGATTCAAGCAACATGCATTTTCTCCCTCCTTTTATTTGTTTGAGATTGACAATGGCACATTCTAATATTACTTATAAGCAAAAGCTGGTCCTTCGAAATCTGTCAGATGTATCTTTTTAGTACATCAAAGCATTTAGAAATCTTGTAAAATAGTGTTAAATTAGCACCAGGTAAAATGTTTTCTATTTATAGTAATGTACATTAAACATAAACCAGATATTACGTTGTTTATAGTTTATCAAATGGGATTTTGAATTAACAATCTTCTTTCATTACGTTACGCGGTAAGATAATGATATAATTTGTGTCAAATATTGTATATTGTTGTAATCATGAATGAAATGTAAGCCACGTGACATTAAGAAGCCAACAAACAAATAATCAATCAATTCGATATTACATGTAGTAATTACGCGCAAATTAACGGTAATTCTAACCTTTTTTGGAAAATCAACTGTGACTGTGATGGAAAATTATCGGTAGATTCGTAGTGTATAATGTTGCTGTCTTTCTATTAAATCACAATCTTTAAACAACTAACATGACTAAGGTGTACATTAACTGGAGGCATGACTTTATTTTTACTTTGTATAAATACTTTACAAAGAATACTTGGTTTTCAAAGCGTCTTTAACATTTTGCACCTCCGGTGGATTTTTCTTGTGGAATGATCATTGTGGTTGCATGATAACACTACGTTTAGTAATGAAAATAACCCTGTATCTAATTATATATTTGTCTCGGGAGTTTCAAATGAACATAACTAACAATCTGGGTCTCATACGAAGCACAAGTGTACCTATTACGTTGATTTAAATTTACTGATGAAATGCATTCGTGTGCAGATAACTAATATTATTTAACAGCATCATGAACAATAAAATCATTTACAACAACTATATTTTATAATTTTAATTGTTTATAGCACTATATGAATTGTTTAGTAATAACTAACACTTTGTGAAAATTATTTCCACTTTATACTGAAATAAAACGCACAAGTTTTAGCTTCAATGTCAAGAAAAAGAATAATAATAATAAAAACCATCAATTACATTGATAATCTAGTAAAGCGTTACATATAATGCTTTGTACTATTAACGGCTTAATTGGTACCTAATATATTTACAAAAAGTAGACGTAATTCAGCGATATTTTGTTTCATACGAAATCTTGAACGCATTTAGAAATATTTGACTCTGCATCTGAATATCGAAACATATGGTGAATGCAGCATTTATGGTTTAAGAAATACAATCAGTTAAATTTGAAATGTTGTTCTTTAACAATTTAAAGTGGTACTTTAAAAACTGAGAAACAGAATTCTTACTTAAAATTGCGATGTTTAGTTATTTAATTCATTTCTGTAAATACTCTTGTTTTCAAGTATGAAAAGTGAAGTTGGTCTGTGCTGGAAAGTTGTCTCACACGGGTATTCTATAACGGTCAACCTAATTATGAAGGTCTCATTAAAACGTAAACATAGAAAAACCTTATATTGATAATTAATTTTATCTATTTTTCATATATGAGAATGGTATTTAGGGAACAAATACTGTGAGAATAAAATTGTTCTACAGAATAATAAAAAAAAAGGTACATTCATAGAAAATATGTAGACCTTACCATGGTAGTAATTGAAACTGCAGAAAAAGCTACATATACATGGAGGTAAATACTATCTGTCAAATACATGAATTGAGAGATATTGGAAACATACTTGTTTCAATAAATTGAAAATACACATTTGTGTGTTTACTAGATATGTCCGAACAAATATATAATATTTGAACCGTTCTTCTTACACCTTGATATATGAAGCGTGTCTTATGCAGACACATAAATTATGTTTCATGTTTTTCGTCACATAATCAAAATCATTTCTGTTGTTATCGACAAAAACGTGATGTTATTAGTTACACAGTTGGCTAAAAGCGTATTACGATATATATGGGGTCAGTAAAATTCCATTTGGAATGAGAGCGAAGCTCGAACCCCATATGGAATTTACTGACCCCATATGTATCGCATCAGATCACTAGCACACTGTGTAACGAATCTATCTTACCGATTATCTTAACATTTGGCATTTAGACTAGTGGCATCATCAATTTCTTTGTCTGTTAAAAAGTTTGAGATTTTTCCTCCACGCCATGTTGTTTTCATAAGGGGAGGTAACACCACTACTTACCGTGAATTAAAATAAAACACTCCTAAATTACGGTCTCCACACGGTCGTTTTGATAGTCCTAGAAATGTACAGGAGATAAGATAAAATAAAAATCTGATATAAAGGTGTGGTTGATTGTATTGTTTCTAACATTAAATTGACTAAAGTTATTGTATATACTGTTAACATAAATTTACAAAAATTAGAGAATAACGACTATTTGGTAATGCTTCGTTTGTAGATAATTTAAACTTAGTATTATGAATCGCGATATTTGTCTTTTATTCAATACACTTTCAAAAGATGCTTTTGATTCCATTTGAATGCAAAAGCGTCAAGCTTGATCAATTCGATTTGATTGAAAATTCCTATAGCATCAATGGTCGATGTGCGAGAAGGTTGTACATCCATACTTCTTAAGCATCTATCAGTTTCCATTAAAACTAGATATTAAATGTTTTAATTTTTTTTCTATTCAGTTTTAATGCAAATGCTGAATAAATGTAAAACGTCATCCTCAATACTTTGAGCTTAAAAAAGAACATTTTAAGGAATTGAATATCACAAAACAATTTACGGTGTAACTTTTGTTTTAAAGATGTTTTAGATGTCGAATGAAATATTAATTAGATAAGTACTTGGATTTTCCACAAAAAAGCCCCTGGTATTTCCTTTTCTCTTTTTGAATTGTTTTTTGATTTTTTATTAATCCCATTTGTTGATCATATCAATTTTGCTTCGATGATGTTTTCCTTTACCATTTATAAGGATGATATCATCAAAATGTTGCACTTTTGATCGATAAAACATTTGTATACTTTGGCTGATGATATTTTAACAGACAATCGGTTATCAAATGAGAATTAATTAAACTCCGCTGACAGACTTAATGACAGACTAAGTTTTTTTTCGTATACAGCAGAATAAATAAATAACTTCTCAAACGCAAAAAAGAAGAAAAATCTTTCAAAGTTTTTTTCTTTATTTGCAAATATATTAATGTTGTCTATGACCCACATCATATACCCGATTTAACTTGCGATTACGACAACTATTGAACATATCTGATACCTATCTTGATCGTTTCCTCGATATTGACACAGATGGACGTCTTCAAAATAGAATGTATGAAAGAACTGTTCCTTTTATTTTTCGAATCGTTAATATCACATTTTGAGGCAGTAACTAGTAGAGAGTTGTCTAATTGACTATCATACCACATCTTTTTAATTGTTAATATACGACATATATTTTACGGTCACCATCACGAATCAATTTATCATATGTTTATGTCTCAACTCCCTAGCTACAAGTGTTTGCATTCTAGATCTTTAGATATCAGAATAGTCGTCTTATGAGTAATTTGGCTGATTTGTCTTATTCTCGATTGTGACATTTACACTTGGAATTTACTCGCACGTCGTATGCAAAAGAGAAGAGGCTCAGCCGCTCCGTTTAGTGATCATGCGTTTCCCTCAGTGTTTGAGTGTTACCTTGATTTGTCGTCTTACTCAATTTATGATACAAAAACATCGGTGAACTACTGTTGTAATCATTCATATTGATTAACATACCTATAAGCAGTTATTTCCCTTCAGAACGGTTTTACATACCTATATGCAGTTATTTCCCTTTAGAACGGTTTTACATACCTATATGAAGTTATTTCCTTTCAGAACGGTACGTCTTTCTTTTGACTTAACAATCCGGACGTTACCAAGTTACAACAAAAAGTGCTTCCAGGCTTAAATATTTACTAGTCGCCAGGTAAACTAAATTTGCGACAGTAAAACTACCGATGGACGTCCGCAAAGCTTCAAATACAATACAGTTATCTCTAAATTTACCATTGTCAGGTCATATCGTGTGTCTTGTCATTATTTACACCGATTATAATGTAACCTAGAGTTTATTGAACTAGAGTAGTTGCGTGTGGTTGCAAATTAGGGTTTTCTATACAATTGTCCATCTTAATTATTCCTTAAAGGTTTTAGACAGAAACAACTCTTTACTTCATTTATTAGATTGAAATTCTAGAACCAAGATACGTCTTCTCGCATACTTATATGAGAGATCAATATCAATATCAATATATTAATTTGAAATTCACTTATCTCACCCAATAAACGTGTGAACCGGAAAAGGAAGTGTTTTATAGTTTGTGTAGTTTGTGTAGTTATGGTTTGAAAACATTCACTTAACATGTACTCTTTCATAATAAATCGAATATGAACATTGCTGTTGATGCAGTATCAACCTATTATGAAATAAGTGGAATTTGCGATAATTATTCAACACTAACGCAATGATTCACTTGATGAAATCACCTAATTTCTTTCGATTTAAACATGTACATCTGACGGATTTTATGTTAGGGATGTGCCTATACAAAACATAGAGTTATAATACATGAGAATTAAGTGAAAGAATCTTTGTTACTGTTATTACTATAAATACTTATTACGGAGTTTAATGGTTTTCATATAAACAGCAGTAAGTATTAGTAAAACACGTTCTTCATAATTATATAGTTTTGGAAATACTTTGTGATAATATCTTTCCAAAAAATTATAAGTCAAAGACATTTACACAAACGCTTACTTCCATCGATTTAGGTAATATTAAGGCTTAAAGAACATGGCATTCTTGCACGAAAATTGTATGTATCACACAAGCTTTTATAATTAGCGGAGTTTTTTTCTAAGCTTAGTACCAGATATATTATGATCATACATGTCTCTGCTAGAACAAGTGTTTTTTTTAACACATATACACTCATTCCTATACATCCGACATATTGACGCTTTCGAAAAATACTCTGCCTTCATGACATTTTAAAATCTGTAAGTAATTCAATAAGAGTCTATTTCAATTGGTAAATTAATTTCTATTTCTGCATCAAATATATGTAATCAGTCATCTTAATATTGTCCTTTGGTGCAGTTTTACATACATTGCCAAACGGAACACCGGGCGTAACGTCATACGAAACAAATTAGAAGATAAAAAAAAAAGATAAAACGAAGATGAATTCCGTAGTTTTGAGTTAAGCACAGTTAAACAAAAGTAAAATATCATTTTTGCAGAAATCCATTATACGATTTTTCGTTACAAATGAATAGTACAGTTTATTGTTTTGCGCCGTCTACCTCGTCAAAAACCTGTTTTTATGAGTGATCGAACAAATCATATTTAAGCTGTGACTAAAGAATCAAAAAGATTTTTTTTTGTAGTGGCGAGTAAAAATCATAAACTATATTTACTCCGAACAGAACTTGCCTCCATTACTAACGATTTTTAGGTAGCCATTGATTATGAATAAACTCATTGTAAATAGCAGGATTGAAATTTTGTACCCAAGACTCGCGTTTCGTCTACAAAAATCCCATCACTGACACTCGAATCAAAAGGTTGAAAAGGCCAAATACGGTACAATGTTAAAGAGCGTTGAGAACCAAAAAATCCTAACGTTTTTGCCAAATACAGCCAAGGTAATCTTTTCCTGGGGAAGAAAGTCCTTAATGTTTCGTAAAAATTCAATGTTTTGTAAACAGTTAATGTATAAATACAACCATATTAATGATATTTCATGTCAACACAGAAGTGCTGACTGCTGGCTTCTGATACCTTTAGGGAACAAAACTCCACCAGCAGTGGCATCTGCCTAGTGGTTGTAAATAAACTCATCATAAATACCAGGATTTAATTTGTGTACGCCAGTCGCGCGTTTCGTCTACAAGAGACTTATCGGTGACGCTTGAATTGGTATTCTTTTATAGATAAGAAAGTAACTTGTTTTTTTTTTTTTTCATGTAGTGAACTGATTAATGTAGACTACTAAATGCAAATACATCACGAAGTATCATATTTTTGTTTGCATGTTTTCTACCTGCTGTATATAATACACAATAGACTTAACAAAAAAGGTCCTCATCGTTTCTATTGTAGACAGGCTTTGATAGAAAAAAAGATGGACGTCACAAGAAACATGACAATACAAATAAACGGGAGTAAACATATGAATGAAACGATAAACAACAACCTTAATCTTCAGGTATGGATATTATTTTTTTTTTCAAGGGAATAATTTTAACATGAGACATTGAAAAAAATACTATGTAAAACACACTTTGAGTTATCTTTTTCATAAAACTGAAATACTAAGGCTTTTTTGTTATTAAACATAGCATATATAGTGTACAGGGTTCCCACTTAGATTTCTTAATTAGTCTTGACTCACCATCTACTTAACAGACGAGTACCAATTTTCATCTTGATTCTGCCTTGGAATCATTATTTCATAAAAAAACTGGTAATCTTATTTTGATTTGGGTTTTACGTTCAGATTAAGAACATATTGATGGGTTTTGGTTTTGTCATTATAAAGATATTTTTCGCAGATGAGCGACTTATCATTGCTAGTAGTGGCCTGTCTCATGACTTATCTGAGATATTTCTTATGGGAACTCAATAGTAAGGTTTATATAGTTTTGAGTGAATACATCTCCCTGACAAGTTGAAATTATTATGATAAAGCCTGTTCTGTTAACGCCTTGATATAAATACTGTAAAACAGATTGTATTGCAATAACACTGTTTAAGTGTTTCAATGCAATGTATATTGACTATCTAAAAAGATATTTTATAATAACAGTGTGCATATTAAAAGTTCAATATTATACTGATTTTATTTTTACAGATTATCGAATGGATATCCTTTGTTATTCTCCTTGGAATAGTAAGCTTGAATATTTTGGTTATGGCGCTACTGCTTTCACGAAATAGAAAATCTAGAATGAAATTTTTCGTTTCCAACTTAGCTTTTGCAGGTAAGGATTGTACAAAAATGACCATAAATCAATTAAAAAATATTGTGAAATATTTAAACCTTGTCAATTACATAGTATAACTGACGGAAGCTCCCTTAGATATGGCACCTCAACAGGCCAAATTTAACTATTTAGTATTATATTCATGTTCCATTTTCACAATATTTGTATTGATGATTTTATATTATTAATCAAAGATCCAAACACTCACTAAAATTATTTATTGATTATTTTCTGTATTTATCTGTTTATTTATTACCTCATTTGATTATTTGTTTGTTTGTTTTTTATTTATATTTGTAAATACAACTCATCATCACAAATTGGTTGACTTTTACAATATGTCGAGGTCACAACTCACTAGCGCCATGCTTTCTTGGTCTTAGATTTATACTAGTAAAGTCGTATGCTCTGTAATTAAACCGACTGTTTCCCATTTTTGATTGCGATATTTTGATTGATTGTGGATTAGCAAAGCGGGTGATGCATGAATAGCAGGGAACGCTTACCCTGTAAGACGCTTCATGTCTCCCTCCGTTTTGGGACCATACAATTCTATCGGTTTTTGTTTGTTATCTTGATTTGCCTCTTCTTAATCGATTTTCAATTTTTCTGGGATAAATTTGGAAATGCAACCATAAAGGTCACCTGCAATTTATTTTTACTTTTAGTACCTAGTGAAAATCATTTGAAGAAATTAGTTGAAGTATGTAAAGCATATATACTTATAGTGTAATAATCAATAGCATAAAAGGAATAACGTGCATGATTAACCAAAATAGTGGCAAGTTTATTTAGTCATAGCGGAATTCTTCGCTCAATTCTACGTAAAATAAAATCTCACTAATCCGGATGATAAGGCAATAGGTCATAATTTATCTGAGAAGCCATTGAAATATATTGTATAAAAAATAAAGTTTGATTAAAATATCAAAACGAAAAGATAGTTTTTGAATTTTAAACAATTTCTAATTGGTTATAAGAATTTTTCGCTTTTTATATAGGTTAGACCGTTGGTTTTCCCGTTTGAATGGTTTTACACTAGTAATGTTTGGGGCCCTTTATAGTTTGCTGTTCGGTGTGAGCCAAGGCTCCGTGTTGAAGACCATACTTTGACCTATAATGGATTACTTTTATAAGTTTTGACTTGAATTGAGAGTTGTCTCATTGGCACTCATACCACATCTTCTTATATCTATGTACATCTGAAATAAAAAGAAAAAAACAATTTGAGCGTCGGGGAATATTTGGAAAATGTTTGTCTTTAATGGAGTTTGCCTTCAGAAAATGACAGCGGCAACCAAACAATAACTATTTGTTTGTTTACTTTTCTCTGTATTTACACAAAATGTCAACGTATTTAACATATGCATTGGTTGATTCTGTTATTGTTTTAACATGACGTATGGAAACTGAAACAAAAAAAGCGTTTTGATGATTGGTAACATTTTTCCTACATACACATGAACTTGGTTTGCAACAACTTAATAGGAAATATACAGAACAGTAAGTAAGTAGGTGGTAACAAAGTGATTTTTCTTGTTTAAATAGTGAATGTGTGTATCTTTCATGTTCATTGAAACTTCTATGGGGTGAATAAGAATTAAAACAAAAACCCGATAAAAACGATAGTGAGAAAACGACACAATTATATGAAAACAATTAATATGTTTACAGTTTAAAAATATAAACGCATGCCGAATGATTTTAGTTTTTGTGCTTCCATGGCAACGTGGTGTAAGAAGTGTATATACTGTATGACAAACCTCTCAACATTGATGTTAGGAGTTTGAACCCCCTACATGTACGTGACAGGTGTGTGCAACTCGAATCTTAATTGACAAGGACTGTCATTTGTCCTGTCGAAAGTCGGTGGTTTTTTTCGGGCACTCCGGTTTCCCCTTGAATAAAAACTGACTTCTACGATATAGCCGATAATGCTGAATATGGCGTTGAACACTAACACCTATTTGTTTCATTCAAGTTTGTATGTTTTTGTTTCAGATCTGTGTGTAGGAATATTTTATGTACTACCAAAAACGTTGTTTAATCGGTTTGAAGTGCCATGGAATCCACACGTGTGTTATATTTACTATGAGTATTTATGCAATTGTAGTTTTATCAATTGACCGTGCATATGTCATTCTTAAACCATTGGCTGCTGCTTCTAAGAGCAAAACATATCGTGATGGACTGGCATTATCAGCATGGGTAGCAGGATGTCTTCTTGCAATTCCTTACGGGGTCTTCGGTGTTTACCTTGAAGATGATATTGACTGTACACATACATTTCCAAACATAGTGGTCAGTTGACCTAAATTACAAGGCTCAAATAATACAATTTGGACACACAAATGATACAATAAAAGTACAACATCGGATACATCGTATCAATTGATAACAATATCACAATATCATACATCTCATATTTGTGCATGAGTTGACTTTATTCATATAGTAATTTTGTATAGAGGATCGATGGCAAATATATTTTACTTTTTGTCTTATATCGTAATTTAGAGATAATCTCACAGAAGAAATTTTGCCATAATGCTATGATCTACTTTGAATCTTTACGAATACAAATTGTCATATTTCTACTTTTAGAGGGAACTTCGCATTGAAGACATTTTTTACCAATTTATGCATAGTAATTTGTTAGGTAAAATTATAATAAACAAACGTTTAAAAGCGAAACTAATCATCCAACAAATCTTTAAATAGGTAAAATATATTACAAATCATGAATCAACTCTTTGTATCAGTTGTTGTCTCTATATCACCAGTTGCACTAATATTTACTTTTTCCATATTATCTCGAAAACTATAAATGTCTAAAGGTTCGACTATAGAGTTTTCTTAAACTTCTGTAAAATGTACTTTTAAATTTCAATAGATAAACTGGGGTCACGAAACTTTACAGCTTTTTCGTTAAATATATTAAAAATGGTTGGGTTTTAATTCCTGATAAAGCTTATTTCGAAAAGCTCCTCGGAAGCACGACAGTTATTTTATAAAAGTGTTATTTTCATTTATATCGACTGATAACTTTTTTTCTTCACATAGGTGATATTATATTCGGATCTTTCTAGTATCATATCATTATAACACCAGTAACAATGATAACTGTGTGCTACATTGTTATCATCATTACGATACGTCGCCGTGAAAGAAATGGATATTTGCAAGAGAAAAACAAGGATACGAGTAAGTACGTGTAGAACAATGCTATACGGAATAACTGTTTCTATTATTCCGTATATTACTTTTAAAGTTTTTCGAGTTAGTGAATGATTGACACTTCAGGTTCACATGATAAAGTCATGTTAGTTTTAGGCTATCATAGGTTTTATTTTTTTGGCTCTGAGCTTCGAGTGTATTTAGATAGAGATTAATCTAGCTGCACATTTAAAATGCAAATTCACTTATAGCTTAAATTTAACAATTCCAGAGATATATCTCGATTGATATGATACACATATTATCATTTAGTAGGTATCTCCAGTGTTTCGGAAATTTGATGAAATATATAACACATTTTGTTCAAAAGGTTGAAGGTCAATAACTACTAAAACCAAGATATAATCTCAATCAGGCAGCAGTTGACCTATAAATGTTTTGAAATTTCTATTTATGCAATTTTTTATGATTTCAAACGAATTTTTAGACTACGGAGTACCTAAATAAATGCATATCACTCTTTAAGCATGTAATGTAGTTGCAATAACAAAACGTATTATATCTGAAGGGAATTTCAAAATGTGTACTACTAGTATTTCGAATTAACAGTAAATCAAGATATATCATATTTTGTTTATCCTTTGAAACATTATCCGGCCGATGGTTTTATGATTGAATTGTTAACATTTTGTCATATTGGGGCCCTTTATTACTAACTACACGGTATGTTTTTTGTTTTTTTTTTTTTTTTTTGCTAATTATTGAATGACGTATGGTGACTTATGATTACTTACTTTGTCATTTTTGTTTCTTGTGGATAGTTTTCCTAACCACATCATCATACTGAATTGTCTAAATGCTACTGAACAGTGCTGAATTGACTACAAGCGATGTATCTGGATATTACCGCACTTGCCGCAGAGGATAAGTCTGAAATTTTACTTAAAGACTGAATATGACTGAATAGTTTATCATAATAATTAAGACTTTTCAGATTATATAGTTATAAGAAGATGTGGTATGAGTGCTAATGAGACAATTCTTCCTCCAAGTCACAATTTGAAAAGTAAACCATTATAGGTCAAAGTACGGCCTTCAACACGGAGCCTTGGCTCACACCGAACAGCAAGCTATAAATGGCCCCAAAAATGACTAGTGTAAAACCATTCAAACAGGAAAACCAACGGTCTAATCTATATAAAATACGAAAAACGAGAAACAGTTATGGATCACATCAATAACCTACAATCACTAAACATCAGATTCAAGACTTAGGACAGGAGCAAACAAATGCAGCGGGTTTGAACTAGTTTTTTTGGCGCCAAACCCTCTTCCTAACCTAGGACAGTTATTTAACGGTAAAACATAAGAACAAACTATGCAAAACAATAAGCGAAAAACATATATGAAAAATATATTCATATTAAAATTACCATTTCAGACTAAAATTCATTCAACTAGTGAAAAGTTTGAAATACTAACATTGAGTTGGTTACCCGGTTGGGAATATCTTCTTCACAGATAATGAGTGATATGTTCTCTATTTCATAACCACAATCCCGTCTTCCAATGTGACCTGCCGAATTAGACTTATCACAGGGTTTGTTTTTTTTCTATATTTGCCTTTGCGTTGTCAATTTGTTTTCGACTTATGAGTTTCACAGTCGCTTTGGAATCTTTTGCCTCTTTTATTTTGAAGAAGAGACTTTAAGAAAGTGTCATATTTATGACTGAGTTAAATGATATTTAATCTGAGAAATGTTACACAAACATCTGCTCTCGGAATATAAAGTATGAATAACTTAAACGGTACCTATTTGATTGCACCGGATGCACATGTATACATTAATGTCTTCTCGATGATGCTTGAAGCGAAAATATGTGAAAATAAAAACAAAAAAAGATGTATAACTTGTACTATTAAGATTAAAACTTAAATGCATTATATATATATTTTAGATAAAGGCTGCAGTATCGTTGTTAGAGATAAAAGTATATCAAAGGCAAAGATTAGGACCATAAAATTACTGTTTGTTTTTGTGTTTGGTAAGAATTGTTTGATTGGTAATGATTACTAGTAACTTATTTTTCGACTCAAACCGCAAACTTTATTTAAACGTCACTTGATAAGTCTGTACCTATAAGTGTTTTTGTCGTGTTAAGAGTTTAAGTTGATTTTCATAAATTTTCTTACAGAATATCAAATGATGTGTTGACGGTTTACTTGCAGCCAATCAAACACTGGTCAGTAGCTTTTCAGACAATTCAGTACTACATTGGTTGTTACTGGCAAATAAAAACTACTGAACAACCTGACAAAAGACTGAATATATAGTATTTGATTGCAATGTAATTGTCTTAACAGAACCAAATTTACTGCAGTGTATATTCCTTATAAGTCTGATCATGTTTTGGTTTTTATGATCTGCTCAGGTCAAAATTGATTTAGTGGTGACTCTTTGATTTATAATTAAATCATTAAAAATAAACAATGAATTTATTAAGATTTTATCAAGTATGCGTCATTAGTTAAAACTACCCAAAATATTTATTAATATTTCATCAAGTATGCCTTATTTAACTGTTGAACAATATTATAATATTAAATTGAAAAGGCAAAAACAGTGAATGATTGAAATCGACATAATAGAAGCATGATAAGTTTTACAATCACCTTCACTAATAGGAATTAGATGACCGATACTATATGTAGTGTTTCTTAATTGACTAGCGACATGTGTTTGCGTTCCTAGATCTTTATATACCGAAATAATCAAACGAACGGTACACGATTGTGTAATATTCCTGCATGATTTGTTATTTGGCTAGTCCTAGAGTGAATTCGAATTACAGATGATTTATGCATATCAGTAGACTCTTGCACTGTCGAGGCACAAGGTCTCACTCCTTTTTGGAGTTCACGCTATTCCTTTACTTTTTGTACTTTGATTTGTATCTCTCTAATAGCTCTTTATCTAATCATATGACATTAAAACATCCGGTAAACTACTGTAGCATCTGTATTACGTTCGATAGTTCCCAACATTAATGTATTGTTTAACTTGATGACATTTATGTCAAATTTTATTGTGTTGAAATATTTATGATAAATTTCATAATATTGAAATATTTATGTTAAATTTCATAATGTTGAAATAATTAAGATAAATTTTATAATGTTGAAATATTTATGATAATATTTATCATGTTTATAATAATGAAATATTAATTTTCATTTTATGCAATGTTTTTCGAAATAACCTTCATAGCAGATTGATAAAGCTTAACAGAATAGTTTGGTTTTTGAATGAATCGGATTTTTATGCATCAGTACATGCAGAGAACGACAAATGCAGCAACACTTTCAGTAATCTGATGACACATTTCATTAATTTGAGTATACAATTTCCTGTGTAATATCGATATTATTGTGGTGCCCACAACTAAATTTTTGGAATGATTACCAAAAAAAGGTACCTTTTCTGAATTGACGTTTATTGTTAGGTTTTTTGTGGCCGATATTTTATGAAAACGGATTGGCGAAAACAATTTTTGTGAGCCCTTTATAGTGTGGATAAGTAAAATTACGCTTGCCAAGTGAATACGAAAAAAATTAACGATGAAAATAAAAGTTCTTTTCACGAAAAACTGACATAATGAATGAACAAGTAAACATGTTTCTGGGTGTACAAGTAAAAATGTTTCTGGGTGTTATAAAGGACAGTAAGTGATTTTAGATTGCAACTTTTAAATTCAATGACAGTGACAATATAACATCTTCATTTGTCCATCGGTTTTTTATGAGGTATGTGTTAAGCAATTTTTGCTTTAATTTTTTTCTGGCTTTTTAAACTTGATTAAAAAAAAAATGCAATTATATACGAACTGTAAAAAAAAACCGGTTCATAGTGTTACAGTTTATTATTGGATTTAAGAATATGCAAGACTATTTCATTAAATTCATTTAGTTGATAAAGGAAGGACTAACACATGTAACATGTGGTCTGGATATACAAATATGAAAAGATAATCAACACATATCAACATGTCTGTTATTTCCAGAAAACACCAACCTCACAACACAATTAAAATATAAACATAAACATTATTAGTAAATTACGACAGTATACAAATGACCAGCACTTAGTCAATAATCACATTTTAATAAAAACTAACTACTCAACAACATGAAATCAACCAAAATTGTTATGGCAGCAAGTTTTCTGGAAGGGTTAGTACTGTTTTAGTCGATTGTTGACGCTCATTCTGTGTTTCATATTATAGATGTATTTTCACATTCATTGAATATCAATTAAAGTAGTCTCAATTTTCTCATCAAAATGTTTTCTTTTTCCAGTATACATTATTTGTTGGTCTCCGATTACCATTGCAGCCATTTTGACACGTCATAAAATTACAGAATGTGGACTTTGGTATCACGTACTGTTCCTACTTGCACTATTAAACAGTCTTGCAAACCCATTAGTATTTCTCATTTTCAATCAGAAAATGTTTCTTTCGAAGACAAAACATACGAAAACAAATGTATTGAGTGGAACGACTTTAAAGAGAAAATCAAAAAGGACAAATTTATCATGATTATGTAGCTACATTTTTTATGCACGGCCTACGACAGACGAGGAGCATGATTTTGTCCGGTTAAAGCGTGAGTGCGTAAATCAGTCGGTCCTATTATAGGTTAAAATTTTATGTTAGATAGTTTGTGGTAATTTACACACATATTCTTTAGGACTTGAACTTTAAGATATATGACTTTCTAGCTCGTTATTAAGACTTAAAGGTACACAGAACATGCAAATGCTATTGGTTAAAAGGTTACCTACAAATTAGTTTGGTTGAAGGTACTTTCTTATCATTTTGACTTAAAATCTAGTATACATTTCTATTATGAAATGAACTATAGAAGATATTCGCTTGATTAGGATTTTGACCCAGGTTTCACGTTGGATTGAAAGTAAAATATTAGAGGGCGAGCGGGTATTGCGTTCAATGGAAACACATTTTTAGAATAAATTTTTACTGTCCACGTGTATTCTTATAATTCAGTACATGAAAACAAAAAAATGATGTCTTTATATACTAATATTTGAATTTCTTCAGTCAAAAATAAGAGTATTTGCCTTCTTATTATGTCAAAAATACTTAAACTAAGAAACAAATTTTACTAGCATTCCCTATTTTTCATTAATTTATTGAATGCAATATATTAGGATATTCAAGAGAATGAATATAGTTAGAAGACACATGGGAAATATTCGAAGTGAAAGTGACAACGCTATGACCAGTAACGAAAGACGACGAGAAAAAAAAAATTAAAAAACAAAACAAGTCAACAAGACATTTCGAATAGTTTTTATGATATTTTGAATGAAACCCTTGTTTCCACAGCACCTTGGCATTTAAATAGTTTTGGTTGTCCATTCCTTGATAAGTTGTCATTACTGATTCGATAAAAATCAATTGGTATGTTCATTTTGAAAGCATATACAACATGTACAAACCCTAATGGAAGTGAATATTATTTTAAATGATCTTCAAAAGAAAAATTATTCTGCCAATTAAAAATGAAAAAAAACATGTTGAATAGGGATTTTCTATAGCAATAAAAAAAGAGTCAACCATCCATATTCTAGAAATATACTGGACAGTGACGCATTCTATGTAAAAAATAGCATTTAAAGGTTATTTTACCCTATGATACAATTACATGCCACAACGAAGTATTGGTGCCCTATAAAACGATTATAACCAAAGTCCATTACAAAACCCTATTTACAAAATAGTCCTCAGAATGTGAATAAGTCCTTACTTTTATCTCTTTCATGTTTGTTTTAGCTGTGGTGATTATCCTAATAGCATAAACTAAAGCAGGAACACAATTTGTGTATAGGAAAGCTACACTATATATACATGATATATTTCACCATTTAACGCACAACCATGACTCTAGATTGAATAAGCATATCTTATAGATGATAATCCTATTTTCCCTATATGTGCGTAGGAAGCACTTTTTTAGAGTTACCTTGATGAGGAACACTCAAACGCAACATTTGAAAAGAAGAGGCGAAAGATGCTAAAGGGAAAATCTAAGTCATAAGTCGAAAACGAACAGACAATGCCATTCCTAAGAAAAAACGACAAACGACCAAAAGACAAACAACAGTATATAGAACACAACATCGAAAACTTAAGACTAAGCAACATGTACCCCACAACAATTACGGTGATCGCAGGTGTCCAAGAGGTGTATGTAGTATGCAGATTCTGTTCCATATGTGGCATCCATCGTGTGGAAGGCCAAGAATGTAGAAAGTACTTTAAACCAGAATGAAAACAATTAGAAAAACATGATAACAGTTGTTAGTCTTGATAAATGGATTTATGTAGATCCAATGGATTCCACCATCGACGAGTTCTGGATAAAAAAATTCTACATAAATGTGTTTTGGTGCAGACATTGCCTTATAAATTCCATTCCGAATGTTTGGTTGACAACGATTTAAATGCACATTTGTTATAACCAAAAAACGTCTTAACAAAAATACGGAAATCCTGGAAAGCTGACAAAACCAAACACTAGACTATATCAACTAACAGAACGACTAGAAAAAAAAGTCAAATGCCTTATTATTGTAATGGCAGTTTGAGAAGAAAATGGTAGGTTAAAACTTGTTTTATAGCTAGATAAACCTCCAACGTATATGACAGTTGTGTATAGTTCCGTTTTGTAAACATAACTGGTGAGAGCGACACTTATAAGAATGAAGTTAGCCAAAATTGTATAAACATATATAATACACAACTGACTAAGAAAGTTCCTAAAATTGTCTTACGATCTTGCGAGACCTCTAGTTTTGCAGTGCACAAGGTAATGCTTTTCTTTGATTGTTAATTTTGTCTTTACTCATAATCCATTGGAAGCTGAATGTGCACCAAAGGATATTTTATTCTTAGATACATGATTTTGTAACAGTTGTGTTTGGATCTGACCTCACTTTCAGTAAATGATAGCACTCTCAGATCTGTACTTTTCTTTTGTGTTTTGCTAGTAGTTTTTGTGCTTCGTATCGATTTGATGAGTTAAGCCCTTTTCATTTGGTGTTCATGGTTTGTTCTTATGTTGTGATGTTACACTCCTGTATAATATCAGAGGGATGGTAGGCGAGGCCGCAAACATTTTTGCCTGTCCAAAGTTAGGATGCTCTAATTTAATGGTTGCTTTTTTATTTGCTGCATATCATATTTGCTGTTCGTTTATTGTTTTGGACACACATTAGGTCGATAGTTTTTTTCATTTGAAATATTCTACATTTGTCATTTCGGGGTTTTTCATTGCTTGCTATCCGGTTAGTATTTTGCTCATTTTGAAGGCACAAAGTATGTGAACAATGCGATTCAAAGTTGCATTTTCATATTCAGAAAAAAGTTGATCAACACAGTTAGAAAGTTACAGGTTTGACAATTTTCTCAGCACGGTTGACCTCTATTTGTACTGTTATTCAATTAAGTCTTTATCTTAAAATTGATGCTTTCCTCTCATTTCACCGTGTTTTTCTGCAATAATAGTTAACGGAGATATCAGGTTCATTCAGGTGCAAATTGTTGTTTTATTCAAAAGATTAACTTGAATTACGTTGATCGAATCAAACAAAGACTTGCAATTTCTATCTTTAACAGATTGCTCTACAAGCTTGGATTATGTTTGTCTTATCTATTATATTTTAATACTTATGTAAACCTTCTTTTCATTTAACTGTGTGTTTTCATCAGTAAAAATAAATGTAAAAAAAAAAAAATCT